GCAATTGTCCCTTAAAATAGTTACTATTTGTCATAAAAGAAATTTTTTTTTGAAAATTGTAAAAATATATTGTTAATATTTGTTGTTTTTTGTTTGGTGGTATGTTTTCAACTAATCAAATTAATTTTCTCCCAACTATAGTTTGTAGTTTACAACGAAAGTTCATTTTGGATGTGACTAATGATTGGATGAATTGTTTATAAAATTTTTAATAATTTTTACAACCGTTTTTTTTCCAATCAAATTTTAAATACTTTGAGTTCCCCGATTGGTAACATAGGATAGTACAAATTTTTGATAGTACAGAGTAGCAGTATAAAATGATAGTACAATTAAAAGCAGTACAAACATTGTTAAAAAATGATAGTACAAAAAAACAGTGATATTATAGTTTGTAATGGTACTTTGTTGATTTTGTTGATTGTATAAGTTGTAATGCAGTTGTAATGCGCTTACAAAGTGCTATCATTCAATATAGACGCATGAATTTTGTACGACTTTTAAAACACTTTTATAATAACATTTGTTTTCCAATTAGACTCAATATTTTCAGTAGATTTCATCTATGATTCATAGTTTCTAAAACTACGTTTACTAATTTCATATTTATTCTAAAACATCTATTTTGAAGCTTTTGAAACTGTAGGTTTTTATTTTACAATAATTAATATTTTCTTACAACGGAACCAAACTAATTTTCCTATTTTGAAGAAGAAGAAAAAAACAAAATCAAAACCGAAGTACTACCCACAACAGAGTGACAAACAAACGGCTGACATACAACATGTGAAATTAAGGATTTGGTAGAAAATAAAATATTTTGTTATGCAATCCTCGTTTACTACGTAAAAGCATCATCCCAAATCCTTTAACCATTCTATAGAGCATTGTCTACGGTTTATCCGACCTTTCGGACAACATTATGCAATAGATTCTAACATGCATACAAAAAGGTTTGGAGGTAGCGTTACTAGTTCGTTCTTTTTGAACAATTCATATATACGGCATGTAATATATTTTATTCAAGTCTCTAACGCTCATGCTTTTAGACTTTTAATCAACTCACATTAGTTCATGTAACTTGTAAAATTTCACTACAAAAAAAAAACATCTAGTTATGTCATTTCGAAGAACGCGTTTACTTTTACCATCTCATGCATGCACTCCTGATATATGTGACATTTTGCATGAGTTATCTAGTTGCACAAAACTGTAACGATGTATCATCTAAAACCAAAGGTACAAATTAATACGCTTAGGAACATGTAACTAGGGTGATATGATCCAATTAATCTAAACTCAGTTCCACGACTTGGTATATTCTTTTTACTATATGTACATTTCTATCGATTTATTATAATGGGATTGGATGGAGACAACAAAAAAGTGATGCGAAAATTGACTACATAACAAACACATACTTAATATTTCATATTAGCAGGCACTTTGTGGTTATGTAAAAGTCTCTGTCTTTCTTCCAACCATCTCTTACTAATTTTTTTTGTTAGGATCCAGTTTGTCTAACTGCACCTGCATCCCGGAGAACTTGAAAGGATTAATATTATACTTCTTACACGACCTTTTCATTTAAACATCATATTGGGCCAATATTGCTTCCAGACAGCTGGTCTAAAACTTGACCATCTTTTTACTCACCTTATTTCTCGATTCTTCGTCCACTCGCGTCATCCATTCTGACTTTAACGTTGAAGGAATTTTAGAAGAACAAACCTGATTTTATCTTTTTGGAAGCCGTCATGACCATGTTATTGCCTTACGAATACTTCCTAACACTAGAAAGTAATGAGCACAGCCAGATGACGACCAGACAAAAAATTTACATTCAACCCCCAATGGTCGAGTTGCCTACTCGCGCTCACCAAAAATCCAGTAACCTCCAATGAAATACTCTTATGAAATTAATCATTTTATGGATCCCAAATTTTTATTTCGAACAATAGCTTCAGTAATTTGCAATTTCTGCACTTTGAAGACTTCGACTTTTGTATTTGTTTGCCAAAATTATTTTAAACTAATGTGAGTTTAGTAAACATTTAAATTACATTAATAAGAGACGACTAGAAAGAAATCTTTCCTCTTATATAAAGGATATAGAATGGACATAAAGCTCCAGTAAACGTAATTTTATATAGATAAAAATATTTCTAAAAAGAAATGAAGGAATTATTTGATAATTCCATATAAAAAAAATCATTTCGAATCTATATATCAATCCATATCTTCTCATCAAAATACCCACAAAGTTTTTGAAACTTTTTTCTTAAAACTTATATAAGGAAAAAGAGACTCAATCTTGTTGTAAGTTCTGATCTTGTTCTTCAGTCTTCTCATGATATTTTCATGGTTGGTCCAAAAGAAATTTTACCGTTTTTTTCATATTGAATTGTCTTTTGTTCGAAATTAAGCTCGATTTGTCATGTAGCAATCATGATTTGTCGATAATCACATTTCTCATGCCTTATTGTTGCTCTCTAA